GGCGATATAAGTGGGAGCTTTAAGTGCACGGGTCGATGCATCTGTGAGGTTAGACCTTCTCTTTCGGGAGGAAGGCCCACTTGTGAAGGCTGGAGACGCCCGAGGCGTTTCAACACTAATGAAGCACTGATCCGAAGCGCACAGCGGCCCGACAGACGGACGGATATTAGAGAAAATCCAACGGACAAAAAGTGAGGCAATTCAGTAGGAGGCCGCCCACAATTTGGGACGGAGCCATGAAATAGCCGTGGTGAATATGGTTAGAGGCGGGGTTTTGAGGTCGGCCTCGGTCAAAGGTCCACAGACACTTTTGTGTTTATTGCCAGTCGGCGCTCTTCTGTAGCTCCTGTGTAACTCCCACGTACTTCTTTGCAAAGCACATTTCATCCAACACAGAGCAGCCTCTCTCTTCACTGATCCGCTCTCCTACAGCTGTACTTTTGATACTGGTTGTGATAACTGCGATATCCCGCTGCCGCTATGAATTTTAAGCTTTTTCTCAATCCAAACACAGCCGTTCCCTTTGGTGTAGCTGCTATAACAAACTGTGTATTAGGTTTTTCTTCCCCCCTCTTTCTTGGGCACTCACATCCAACAAGGTTTTAGAATGATGTGATGGAAAGATGATTTGTTGCTATTCTGTCCCCAGGATACGTTTCGGATAGGAAGAAATTGTAAAAAGAAAAGGGAATAAAAAGGGGTGACGTGTTTAGATGAAGAGCTCATGCTTTAAAATAGCATGAGGGGTTGGAGGAGAGAGCGAATTGCAGGGCGCAACACCTGGAAGCCGCTGACATCCTTCCGGATCCATTCCAAATCCCATCTAGGTCGTTTTCTGTTCATTATTTAGACTGTAATTGTATTTAGTTGGTTATTGTGTTCACAGAGCATATTACATCTATCCATCCAAAGGGAGGAATCCCTCCTCTCTTCCTTTTCCTATTGGCTGTTGCTTTTTTGTCTGTTTGAAACGTGTCTCTAAAGACAGAGGGTAGCTTTAAACCTTAAAAGTATAAAAAACCACCAAACTGCATTATCTATGTGACAAAAGTTCAATAAGTACACAACTTTAATTCCATAGATTTTGCACTGAGGAGAAGGACAAAAACAAAATGAGTATTTATTCCGAAAGTGTTGTTGGTAAAGAACATTTATTTAAACTTGGTTCCCTCTTGGGGCCATTTTTGCTCCTGCTTCACTTCTCCTGGAAACACTTGAGGAAGCTTCCACAGCAGTGGGCGTAACGCTGCCATGGTGCTCAAATAGGTAGCACACAAAATAGACATGTGCTTCCTAACTTAAATACTTGTTTGTTTTATAATGTAAATTAGATACAGTTTTGTTGATATCAGTCATAGATCTCAGGGAACGCATCATAATCAGCCTGTTTCCGTCGCTGTTGAACTTTGACTTCTCATGGAAATAAACAAGAAACATTCTTAAACGGCCCCCGGAATTTTCATGGACTTAGTTCCGAGGCCTCTCTTAAAGATGACTTCATCTGAAACACTCGGCTTGGCTGGTTGGTACGGGCGAGGTTAAGGCTGCACACGGCCCTTTATTATTTTCTGACGATTTAATTAGGACAAATAATTTGATCATTATGAAAATGACTGCGTGCGACCCTCTATTGAGAAATTACATATTATTACGTTTGCTAATCAAAGAATGAATATTTAATACTGCTCCATACTGTATGTATCAAGCTGGATGTTGAATTATCCAAAACTATGATTAACAACCCCCATAATCCGATTTAATTCAAGCATAATTAATCATCTCCCTTTTTCACTTGACACAAGTGCGCCTCAGTCGGCCTTGAGGAGAAATCTGCACCCTTTGGTTATTTACCTCCTCTCTTTAGAAGCACTTCGTTGGGTCCTGAGCAAAAAGCAGGTAAGCAAACAGAGCCTGGGGGCCCAACTTAAAGATTCCCTAATCACTATGAACGTATCGTGATGTTTAGATATGAATAATATTGGATTATTTTACAAACCAGCACACTAAAATAACCCCCAAAGGCTGTATTCTACTTTACTTGTAACTCTGCAGGTCCAGATTTGACTCAAAGTATTCATATTAAAATATGTTTCAATTTCCAAACAGGCATTTTAATCGCCTGTTTGGACACGACCACGGGCTATAAAGTAAACATTGACCGAATGTTAAAAGTCTTACATCTCAAGGTAGTTTGACTCCGGGGAAGTGAAAATGATTTTAGCAGTAAAAAGTTCGCGATGACGCGCACCAGAGGCCAGAGGCCACGCCCCCCCCGCCCCCTCCCCCGGCCCCCCGCCGAGCAGAAGAGCGACGACGGCGCCGTGACTGTAAAACTAAATTAAAGTTGAACTCAGCGGGTGTTGAGCAGCGAAAATGTTAGTTTTAATCTTTTTCTGGAATAGAATTCACATTTAAACACTTACCCTTTTGCTCTCTAATAAAGTCCTCAAAGGTTTTCCTCGTTCACTCTGAGCAGACGGCGCGTGAAGCCTCTTTGATGACCTCTCTGCTCCCCGTAAACTACTAATTACAATCGTTATATTTTATGCCATGCAGTTTCCTCATCTTCTAGATTTTATGGATTGTTTTTTCCTGCGTTCTTCCTCAGGACAAAGAGGTGGCGGTAGAATGCATTGCAACCTTTGATTGACACATTTTTGCCGCGCTAAATTAGAAGCTGTCAAAGTGTAAACTATTGACTCCGACCACCAGTTTTAGATCACGATGCACTTCTAAATGATTTATTTATCCCTTTCACTACTCGAGCGCCTGAAGACTCTACGAGCGGGATTCAGAACCAAAAGGCCGCAGTGATAAAGCGGCTGCATCCCGCGGCTCGCGTGCCGCCCACGTGTTGGCGGATGGAGATTGCGATGCATCGGACTGGGGACTATTGACATTGCCGTAGCAGAGACACGTCCTTTTCTTGGCGCGCTGAGAGATGACCTTGCTGAATACATATTCGGAGGAAAGGCTGATCGGGCTTCAGTAGCCTGGGAAATTGAACCCGTGTTGTAAAAGAAAAGCATACAGGATGACAAGCAAACACTGTATCCGTGTGATTGATTTAGTCATTAATTTGAGCTGTGCCCTGTGTGCGTTTGCTGGTGTGTGTGTGTGTGTGTGAGCGCCTCTGTCTGTGCACACATGGATAAGACTCCTCGTCTTTAACTGCTCAGCCGACCTGCGTCCGCTCACATCTTCCTTTCTATTGATTGGCATACGGAGCAAGCGCACACAAGCCTCCCGATCAGGGCGACAAAAGTGTTGTCGGTAGTCGCGGGGTCGACTAAGGAAGCAGCGCCACCTTCGGCGGCGGGAAATACTTTGCTCGCTCCGCGTTTGTTTGTTTTTTTCCGAGGATGGTCCATTTCAGGAAGTGGTTTACTCAAGCTAAGTCCCGCGCGTGCACATGGGCCGGATTCTCAGCGTGTTAAAACATCAGCCAGATGCACATCCCATCAAAATGTCAGGGTTCATGTAACACTCGTGTGTCTGTGTCCGCCGCCGACGGGGTGCGAGACAATAAAGAAACGCCTTAAACCACAACGGCCGCTTCTGGGAGGAAATCACTTCAAGGCTTTTCTCGATGGAAAACGTGTTTCAGCTCTTCTGCCGGCGGCTTTGGAAAGAGAACGAAGACCGATGGTTCGTCCAACGACCCGCCAAGCATTTTTTTTTTAAATCGTTTCAAATCGCTGCTTTCAGACGGTTGCGTAACGATCCATCGGACAGGTCAGGTACACTGAGGTATATGACTGCATCCCCTGTAATAGTAATAATGCTCATAATAGTCGTCCATAACCATTCTGGTTTTTCGCAACCAGAAGGTGAATACGACCAAACTCGCCATTCGGTTCTCCTACTTTCGAGAGAAGGCGGAAATTAAGGTAAAAAGCTAATAATTCAGTTCAGTTTGAATTAAAAATGAACTGTAAACATCAACATCAATGTGACTGGACTAAAAGGGACATCAATAATAAATCACAGTTCTGAAATATGAATATTGATTTCAAACATCTCAAATTAAAAGCTTTTAGAAATGGTTACGCTGCCGATAGTGTGACATTTGCAACACTTTGAAGTGCTATAATCATTGCAGAAAAGTTCAAAAGGGCAAGAGAGACATATTTGACAGCTCACTCATTTGGCACATCTTCAGTTTCAGGCCGACGCGATAGAAAAAAACATCTAAGAGGAACCTTAACACTGACAACACCGCCTCCAGGAGTGTCCCGATTTGAACAAGTGGAATTTTTAGCCTTGACAGATTAAGTAAAGATAACACTGAGACGATGAATCAGAGGATAAAAAGTGTGCATGGATTTACAATGGGATGACATTTGTCATTGGCAGTGCACGTTGGGTGTGTCTGCAGTGGCCCCCCCCCCAGGCACCGCGAGGGACCGAGGTCCGTCCAATCGGCCCGGCAGGAGGACGCCTTACTGCTCGATTCTAATTCATGTACATATAAATAACTGCTCCGTGGACGAGAGACAGGAGAGACAGGAGAGACAGGGGGGCAGCGTTAGGACGTTAATCTACGTCTAGCGGCTTTTATTTTGGCTTAGTGTAACTGGATACAGCGTCGACACCGTGAGCAACACGATGAGTCCAAACATCCAGAACAGAGTGTCCAGATAAACTAAAGCCACACAAAAAACTACTTGAACAAAATCTAGATGATAGAAATCAGGAATGGAACTCTTCCGATCGCCAGGTTCTGTCTGGTTGTCTGCAGTGCATGCTGGGATGCTACAGACCACTGCAGATGCATCAGTCACCAGCAATGGCAGCAACAAGATATTTAGAAGAAAGGACTTGCGGAGGATGCGGGCGAGGAAGCATAGAAATCTAAATGTGTGAGAGAGAAACGGAAAGGGACCCTTTCTTGCTCGTACGCAACGGACCGGCGCTGCATGCGGAGAGGAAAGGTGTTTGGGTGAAAGAACCCGGGAGGTCGGGGCATGCAGAGAGGAGGAAAGGTGTCTCAGGCTTACCGGGGTCCTGTGCAGCTCCTGTTTCGGGTGAGAAGGATCGGTGGGTGGAAGGGAGAGGCAGAAACAGAAAGAGAGGTTAGCGTTCAAAGCACCATCGGGAATTTAATTGCCCCACATTTGGGCGAACATCGAGGTTCATGCTTGTAAAGTACAGGGAAGGCCAGAGGAGAAGAGCAGTTGGTGCTGCTTCCCTCTGCGAGAAGGAACACCACAGCGGAGAAGCAGACAGTTGTTGCAGGTTTGAGCTTCAAAGGCACATTTCTTTCACCTCCACTTTCTTCAACCTTTTTTTAAAAAAAATTCTCGGTTATACCAACATGTTGCACCTAATAAGTCCCAGGAAGTTCTCATCTTGTAGCCTCTATTTTTGGCATCATGCCACACGACTACGGGATGAGTCGTCTGGGAAACTGTAGCACGCATTAACAACAACGTCGCCGTTGTCTTTATGAGCGTCGGAATAATAATGGGGGGGGGGGGGGGGGGGGGGGGGGGGGGAGAATCCGCTCACGGTGACAAACGTGTGGGAAGTGACACCATAGGCAAACCGCGAGGGGTTGCCACGCAACCAGCAGGAAGTCAGCGCTCCTGCGCCAGGAGACAGTCGGGCACATGAACCCCCGTACAAACACAACTTTACGCCTCAATAGACGGGTTGTCGTGTGGGATAAACAAAATAGATAAAAGGTGTTAACCAGTGGAGCTTTGGCTGCAGGCGGATTTAATTAAGAGTTTGTTCTGCTGCTGGTGTTGGTTCTGAGCGAGCTGCCGTCTCTAGACTTTAGATTAAGAGGCGGACTTGGCGCGGGCGTCACTCTTCTCATCTGAAATCATAAACACGGCGGAGAAGCACACACTTAAAACACACTCAAATGGGAACACAATCAAACGTAGCGGGGAGAGAGAAGCGGTGGCCCTCGGTATACAATCTGCCGCCCGTTCAGGGCCCCATCGCCGGAGACTGTCCTTCAGCCAAGTGAGCGTGGATTCAAGCTAGGGGGAGGGTTCTGATTAGAAAACCTATTTCCTCTTCAACCGTTTCAATCATGGTGATGTTCTAATTACCATTATCCACAGCGAGACAGTGAGGCAGAAAGTGAGTGGGTGAAAGAGGGGGGTTTGTCTTTGCGTGTAAACTGTGAAAATCAAGCCCCCTCACATCCTGTGACACAGCGGTGAGGAGGCACCGTGTGGAGTTGTTCCTCTGCCCCGTTCACCTCTGCAGGCCTCGCGCTTTGGTCCGTTTACGTCGGCGAAGAATCCAACCGCAGAAAAAACAGCAGTAATTCCACGAGTCATACAAGCGAGTGAGGAGTGTGCCAAGCCGCCATCGACTGCAACTGGAGAGCTCATCTGAAGACTAAAGAGTAATTCGGTAAAACCACCCTGGGAGGGGGGCACACAGTAAACCCCGACCACCCGCCAGACCGCCCGATGTGGAGAGAGACGGGTGGGGGGGGGGGTTTGCTTTGGGGAGATTACACAGCCACAGGCGAGCCGTGGAGCAGCCCCCCCTCCTCCCCCCTGTGTTAAGTAAATGGAGAGCGGGAGAAGAATAACTGCACGGGGGCTTTGCCCCGTGCGGGTCTTGTGGGATCCTTTGCTATTCAGCCCCCGACCTGCAACCTCCAGAGGTGAAGTTAAATGACAAGGACTGCACGGATGCATTAAACATGAGTCGTCGGGACAGAGGGTTAGACGCCGGACCACTCCAGAGATGATAGGGGCATTAACCAGGGTTTCACCGGGGCCTGAGCTGCATGTAATGAAGGCCTCGCGGTGGGGTCTGTGTCAACATTCAACTCACGGGCACGCAGCTAAGCACTTCCACAACAACTGGCCCGCTCTTCCTGCTCCTCAGCGCTCACTGACCAGCCTGACGACTTCATGTAGTCTGTTTGTTGTGACATCAACCCGTTAAGTTCTTGCCGAGTCCGGAAATGTAATGTGAGTTGCAGTTAGACATCGTCGTTGTCGGCTCCAATTGAAAAAATACAATAAGAACACATTAGATTACATGTCATTGAGCTGCTGCTGTTGCTCCGAAGCGACTTTCATTAAGCGCATTTCAACCATAAAGAGACAAACCCAGAAGAACGAGAAAGTGCTATTTCATCAGATAAGCGAATTTACAACTCACTATAGATAGCAGCCATTAGAAGTACAATGCATGAACACGGTGATGTGTTATACTACCAGATGTCTAAAGCATAATACAATCATAATTATTACTTTTCTATTGTACTAAACAAAGCAACATACGAAAGCAAACTACAGTAAGAAAAGTCTAATATGAGCTTTAACCGGATGCAGCAGCTCATCTCCCTGCATACACATTACTAATGTTTAAATTGTTTAACTTCTTGACAATCTGTATTAGGGTCAGTGATTCAAATTCACTGATATCATCCAAAGAAAAATAGACTTTTAGATTTTTGCGTATTTTTCTGTTTTCATCTGTCTGGACGGACCGATGAATGGAAAAACAAAGACAAGAAAAGAAACAGAGTATAGCAGTGCAGCTCTAATCAAGTGCCGCAGAGATTTTCTGTGACAAAGGATGTGACTGCACGGGACAAAGCTTGTGGTGCTCAAAGTGGCAAACTTACATTTGAGGAACTCAACAGCAAAGTCCTGATCCGGTAACTGTGACCCACGGACCTTAAACTGCTCCAAACGACGCCGGTCCATTGTTTTGGTGGGTTCCCTACGACTAGCAGCACATGTGCATCTATTCACATCCACACGCTGACCTTCACCTGCTGTCAATTTACAACAAATAACCATTTGATTTGGTTTTGCATTAACGGAATGATCCAAACTCTCAGGTATTAAGAAAGCAGTCTTAAAAAAACAGCCTCTCATCAGGTGAGGGAGGCCGGGACGCTTCTCCGCTATTGCCAAGACGCAATAATGACGACGTCTTCCTTCGACGCGCTTCCAAGCGCAGCTCCTGGTTAATGGCCTGGAACACACGCCGTTCAATGTCTATCAAAGAAGGACGTTGCCTGGGAATGGATGCACATTGCTGACAACTTTCCCTTCGCCCCCCCCCCCCCACAGATCACACAAACAGGCGCCAACACTCTGTCTTCTTTACACTCCGACCGGCAGAAACACGCACAGGAAAAAGCCTGCCTGTAGTGAGCTTAAGTATAGCGAGCAATAATGTGTTGATTAAATCTGTGATCAGCTGCCTAAGGGCCATGAAATTGGACATGATGAGTGTGGCACATTAAAAACTAATTATCAATAGCACCGATCCCATTGTCTTCCTTTTGAACCAGTCACAAGCAGGAAGTCGAGCGTGGAGAATGGAACCCTCTGTGTCCTATTGCACGGGGCTCTGGGGTTACAACCGAACCCGCGTCCTGGCCGCATGAAAGCCTTCTGATAGAACATAAATCTATTATTTGCCCCCCGTAGGACTCCCTTATTGTATCGCAAACTATTCTGCCAGACGAGAATCAAGCTGCTTTACATGTTTCAAAACATTTCAATATATAAATATATAAATCTGCGTATTGTACGGCTGTGATGGAAAGTGTTTTTTTTAATGAATATGCCTTCATGAGTAATTAGAAAAGCCCACTTTCAATCTACTTTCTCGTCCATCATCTCAAACTCTCTGGGATTTTAGAGATTAAATTCTACTGGAAACAGGGTCAGAGGACAGAGACCAGTCGGCTGAGCGAGGAGGACCTCAGGGACGGACTTTTCACCGAACCGACCCACTGTCATCCCGGCATTCAGCCTCTTCCTGAGGCCCCTTTAAACACGGTATCAGCCGCGGCCGTTCAGAGTCTTGCGACGCAACCATAAAGTTGCCGCATGTCGTCGCCACCGATGTGCCGCGGGGACGGCGCCTGAACCCGTCTCTTCTCACCTTAAAGGATCGGCCGCTGTGAAGCGGCTGTCATCCGATTTAATCTCGGAGGTACAAACCATGCCTATTTCCTACCCACTCGCATCGACCATCCTTTTACCTCCGGCCGTCCCTGAGACCCGGCGATTAGAGAGCCGCGTGCCGTCCGGCTGATAAGGCCGGGAACCCCTCCCTCGAGCACCGACGGCTGTGTCCTCGGGGTGCAGGGGGAAAAAAAAAAGAAACCTCCCCGTCCTCTACCCACGTCTCCCCATTCACCAGGTCACGGGTGGCGGCTGAATACTGCTCCCTGCGCATTCCATGACTTTGAACGGACACGCCTCCATTCATCACGCTGGATAAGAGCAGCAAGGGAAATGCGCAGACGTAACACAGCCGAGCTTATAAAAGTGTGACATTATGCATTGGGGGCCCGTTTTATGAGTGGAATGGTACATTCTGGAGTGTCTGTTTACAGTAGCATCTGGTAAATTGTGTACATTTATCACTGGAAATGTGGAGGACAAACGCTTGTGTTCAAATTTGGATGAGCTTTGTCTCACGAGGGCCTCTATTGTCTAAATGTCTATCCAACTGCCATAAAAGGGGAAATAACATGAAACAGGTTATTCACAGTAATTTGAAATAATTATATCACAGTTGGAAGATAGTTTCCTCCAAGCTTTTCCATGTCGGTGCCCCTCGAATTAGATTTCAGGGCTGTTACTTTTCTGCATTTTAGAAAGTGGAGATTGCTGCGCTTCGGCCGATTGCCACATTGTGCAGGGAAGATGGGACTTTAACATTGTTGGTCTATTCAGCAGATTTTTTGATCAAATTAAAAATACCGAGCAGCAGCAGCCACCTTGTCCCAGAATGTCATCACCAGAAAAGGAATGTATGAATATGAGACTGAAATTGCAAATATTTGAACACTTTTACTTTTGCGTGAAAGAAATTCTGAAGGGAAAAATAGAAAAATCCAGACATCCCAAAAATATGATCATGTCATCCTCTTTGGTATAATTAAAAAAAGGAGAAAACTAAAGGCCCAAGGTGCTGTAGAAGAAAAAAAAGGCTAACCTTTGGGGTCAGGGAAGTTCCAATGCCATTAATTTTAGATGAGTGGAATGGATTTGTGGTAATGAAAACC